ATTAAGTGTAAGTTTTAATAGCAAAAGTGAAGAAAAAATATCAAATAAAAAAAAATGAATAATAAATAAATAATTAAAAATTGAAATGAAAATTAAGTTAAAATATTGCTAAAAAATTTAAGTTTTAATAAAAATCAAAAAATAGTGATGATAATTTCTTTTATATAAATTATTTATTCAAATAAATTTAAAATAAAATAAACAAAAAATATTAATAATAATAAAAATAATATTTTTTAATTAAAATTACATCAGATCAATATGGAGAACCTAATGAGATAAAAGTGAAGAGCTTTTAAACTTTTTTTATTAATTTATATAAATATAAAGGATATTAATAAAAAAACTAATAATTACTTTTGCTAAATTATTATATTTTTTAATCTATTATATCATTTATTTTTTTTTTCAAAAATATTGAATGGCAGTTTATGAAATTTAATTAATTAATTAATTAATTTATTATAAATGGATAAAAAGAACAAATAAATATAATAATTAATTAATTATGAAATATTAATTTATATATTTGGTTTTATGAAGAGATATCACATTCACTATTTAAACTTAATATTTTTATTTAAAACAAAAACTTAAATATGTAGTAGGAATTAAAGACGGCCAGTTATTTATTTAGTAATATTTTAAAATAACCTGGTAATTAATGTTCTTAAGTATTATAAAAATAATGTTTATCAGTAGATTTTTCTGTTTTAGCAAAAATATGATTCTGGGTACACCAACCCAAGCCAAAATTTTCTTCCAAAAAACCCTAACATTTTTGAAAAAGTGAAAACAAATTTTACATAACTTTCTTTGTAATATTCAATGAGCTTTGTCTGAATACTATATTTTTAAGAATATGTTTTAAATAAAAATATTAAGTTTAAATAGTGAATGTGATATCTCTTAATAAAACCAAATATATAAATTAATATTTGATAATTAATTAATTATTATATTTATTTGTTCTTTTTATCCATTTATAATTAATTAATTAATTAATTAAATTTCATAAACTGCTATTCTATATTTTAGAAAAAAAAAATAAATGATGTAATAGATTAAATATTACAAAGATTTAGAAGAAGTAATTATTAATTTTTTTATTAATATCCTTTATATTTATATAAATTAATAAAAAAAGTTTAAAAACTCTTCACTTTTATCTCATTAGGTTCTCCATATTGATCTCAAGTAATTTAATTAATTAATATTATTTTTATTATTATTAATATTTTTTGTTTATTTTATTTTAAATTTATTTGAATAAATAATTTATATAAAAGAAATTATCATCATTATTTTTTTATTTTTATTAAAACTTAAATTTTTTAGTAATTTAACTTAATTTTCATTTCAATTTTCAATTATTTATTTATTATTCATTTTTTATTATTTGATATTTTTTCTTCATTTTTGCTATTAAAACTTACACTTAATAAAAGCTATTTATTTGTTTTGCATTATAATATTTTTAATTATAAAAGTTAATATAAAACATTAAAGTTCTTTTAACTTATTTGATTTGTTTTCCTTTTTCTTTTTATTATGATTTCATATTTTTTAATTCTTTATTAATTTTATTAATTATTAATTAATCTTATTATTTCATATTTTTTCTTCATTTTTTCCTCCTATATTGAAATATCTATTTAACTTATATCTAAATAACATTATAAATAAAGCTAATTTTTAGAAAGCATAACATATCATTTTTTTGAAAGAAATAAATTTTAAAAATCTAGGATAGAAAAAATTTTATAAAACATATTAAAAATTTTAATTTTATAAAATGAATGGTATATAATTTTTGATTGTGATATTTTTAATTATAAAAACTAATTAAAAACAATAAAGCTCATTTTTCTTTTTCTTTTTATTGTGCTTGCTTTTTTTTTGTTCTTTCTTAGTTAATTTAGCTCATCATTTTATTTTCAAATTTTACTTTTATTATTAATAATTAATCTTATTATTTCATATTTTTTCTTCATTTTTTTTTTCTAATTAACTATTTAATGATATATTTTTTATTCAATATTTAAAAAGTGGAAATTAAATTGGTGATGAAGGTGCATCAGGCTTAGGTTCTGCTTTAGCAAATTGCATTAATCTCTCAAATTTGACACTTGACCTTCAGTAAAAACAGTTTATTTGTTTTGGATTGTGATATTTTTAATTATAAAAACTAATTTAAAACAACAAAGCTCTTTTTTCTTTTTCTTTTTATTGTGCTTGATTTTTTTGTTCTTTCTTAGTTAATTTAGCTCATTATTTTATTTTCAAATTTTGCCTTTATTATCAATTAATTAATCTTATTATTTCATATTTTTTCTTCATTTTTTCTTTCTAATTAACTATTTTATGATATATTTTTTCTTCAATATTTAAAAAGTTTCAATCAAATTGGTGCAATGGGTGCATAAGGCTTAGGTTCTGCTTTAGCAAATTGCATTAATCTCTCAAATTTGACACTTTACCTTGGGTAAAAACAAATTTATTTGTTTTGGATTGTGATATTTTTAATTATAAAAACTAATTTAAAATAACAAAGTTCTTTTTTCTTTTTCTTTTTATTGAGCTTGCTTGTTCTTTCTTAGTTAATTTAGCTCATCATTTTATTTTCAAATTTTACATTTATTATTAATTAATTAATCTTATGATTTCATATTTTTTCTTCATTTTTTCCTTCTAATTAATTATTTAATGATATATTTTTTCTTCAATATTTAAAAAGGTCTAATTAAATTGGTGATGAAGGTGTATCAGGCTTAGGTTCTGCTTTAGCAAATTGCATTAATCTCTCAAATTTGACACTTGACCTTCAGTAAAAACAGTTTATTTGTTTTGGATTGTGATATTTTTAATTATAAAAACTAATTTAAAATAACAAAGTTCTTTTTTCTTTTTCTTTTTATTGAGCTTGCTTTTTTTTTGTTCTTTCTTAGTTAATTTGTCCCAACATTTTATTTTCAAATTTTGCTTTTTTTATTAATAATTAATCTTATTATTTCATATTTTTTCTTCATTTTTTCCTTCTAATTAACTATTTAATGATATATTTTTTCTTCAATATTTAAAAAGTTGCAATTAAATTAGTGCAAAGGGTGCATCAGGCTTAGGTTCTGCTTTAGCAAATTGCATTAATCTCTCAAATTTGACACTTTACCTTTAGTAAAAACAGTTTATTTGTTTTGGATTGTGATATTTTTAATTATAATAACTAATTTAAGACAATAAAGCTCTTTTTTCTTTTTCTTTTTATTGTGCTTGCTTTTTTTGTTCTTTCTTTCTTAGTTAATTTAGCTCAACATTTTATTTTCAAATTTTGCCTTTATTATCAATTAATTAATTAATCATATCATTTCATATTTTTTCTTCATTTTTTCATTCTAATTAACTATTTAATGATATATTTTTTCTTCAATATTTAAAAAGTATCAATTAAATTGGTGCAGAATAGAATAGAATAGAAATACTCGCACATATAAATGCACTCAGAATACAACTTAAATTAAAAATTATTTATTTATTTATTCATTTATTATATTTATATGTATTATTGTTTGTTTTTTTTGTATTATTAGGTCTTTAAATATATTATTTTTGATTTTTTTACATGTATGTTAGTTGAAAGAGAAGATAGTTAAAAGTTAATAAAAATAGAAAGAATACATTATATAAAAATAATTGTTTAATCATAATAAGGTATTAATTGAATATATCGAGAGAAGGATAATTTATTGGAGTATCTAAAAAACTATGGATTATTTAATTGATCAATTTTATTTTTCACTATGCTTATTTGGATTGATCATCATCATCACCGTTATTGTCATCATTATTTTATGATTCTTATTCTTAATATTCTTAGTTAGAGCCATCTTACATAGTAAAATGAGAATTGTTATCATATTTATCAGTATTGTGATCATACTCTTTTTGAATATCTTTTTCATCTTAATCATTATCTTCATAACTAAAATTATCTTCAAGATATTGTAAGATTGAGCTTGAAATTGATAGACTTTCACTTTATTGATGAAAGTCTTCTAAGTAACTTTAATTTGAATTTTCTTCTTGTTACTTATCAGTTTATTAGTTTTCAGTATTAAAATCACCAACCTTCTAATTGTTGCTATATTTATTTTCATTTATTTGATTAGTTTCATTGGAATCGTTTAATTTTTGACTGTCATACTATTGAATACTAATTTTTTTCTCCAAACAATCGATAGATAAATAACTTAAATTTTCTTCAACTACTAAATCTACAAAATCTTCATCTTTAATAGAAAAGCAAACTATTCTTGGCATTTTAAAGATTTTTCTTTTTAACTTCTTCTTAGTTTTCTTATGTAGACTATTATTTATTTTTTCATATATTATTTTATTGATATTTAGAAGTTAAAAATATCCATGAATAAACAAATAAGAAACTCATACATAAATAATTCTCAAAATTAATAAAAAATTTTTGTTTTATTTAACTAAATTTTTTTACTTTATTAAAATATCAAATTAGATGAGATTTCTATAATTTTATATGTGAAAAGCAAACTCTTCAGTGTCTTTATCGCTTACTTTAAAACTTAATTGTTTAAATTATTTTTATTAGTTAATTAAAAAAATGTTTAATTTTTTCTTTAATCAAATAATTTGTCAGAAAACAATATATTTACTGTACTACTAGAAATAATTTGATTAGGTTTTAACAAGTTTTTAGAGCTAATCCAACTTAAGGTAAGCATGCACCATTAGTTTCCCAGCTTTAAAAATATTATTATAACATTTTTGTTAGAATATTTTTTTAAACATTAAAGGAGAAAATAAGTAAAATACAATATAAAATAATAAACAAAAAATACCAGAAACCCAGAAAAAATTCTTTGAGATACTTTAAATTCGATAAATGAGCACATAAATCGTAATAACCTTTAGAGGTAGGCTTAATATAAGTTGGATTTCTATCATGAGTATTGATTTTCAATACTTATAAATTAACAGATTTAGCTAAATTAGAGCCTAATTTAGATAAACCATCGTCACTAAAATAATTATCATCACTTTTATTATTATATATAATTTTTATTTTATTTTTTATTTAAAAATTATATATTGAGATTAAATTATATCAAATTACCAAATTTCAAGACTCAATTCTTACAAGCTTTAGCATTTTACTAATGCAGATCCTAAATTTTCTAACCCTTCATCGCCGATTTCATCACAACTTTAAATTTAGTTAAATAAGCATAAATAGTTAAAATATTTGTTTATATATATGTATTTATATTAATTACAAAAAAGATATCACAAGCTTTGTAAGTTTTTGGCACTTTGACAAAGCAGTAGCTATTCTTGATAATCCTTCATCCCTTAGATTACATGCGCTAATTAAATTCATAATAATTCAAATTAATAGCTTAGTAAATCATAACTTACAATCCAAAAAGATTTAATATTTGAAGATTCTTACAACCTCTTATAATAGAAGCAATAATAACTCCTCCATTTTCTCCAATTTTTTAAAGTCTTTTGTAATAAAATCATTAAAAATTTTACTTATTTAAACTAGTATTTAAAATATTTAATAATTTACGTAAAGTCCATTTAAAAAACAGATATTTGTTTGCATTTCGTTATACTGGCTCCTAATATAGATAATTACTTTGGGCTTACATAAATTTATCCATACTTATGACTATAAAAATGTATAATTAGATAAATAAATTCAAAATTTTATACCTAAAATCAAGAATTAAATATTTGAGATTAGAACAATTTTCTATTTTAGAAGCTATCATTGGAAATTCATCTTAAGTAGTTTATCTTTTTTGATAAAAAAAATAATAAATAAATTCAATCTTTAAAAGAAGTAAGAATTAAATAATTATTAGTCAATTTCAATAATAAAATTCTAATTTTAAATAGTTAGAAAAAAAAAAATCATTAAAAATTTTGTTTAATTTGCTTAAATGCCAACAATAGAAATGAAATAATAATCTTCATTATGTTAATTGAATAAATTTTTTTAACTAAATTAAATAATTTATCTTTTCATAGAAAATATTAAAAGATAACTAAAGTTTTCTTACTGAAAATCAAGGTTAAGATACTTTATTTATTCTAGGGATAAATTTGGTTCCATAAGCTTTTTTTTAAATAAAATAGAATTAATATAAATGAATTAATGAAGTAATATATAAACTTTAGTTAGTTCATTAATTTCCTTTTCTTATAAGACCAAAGATTTCTCAATAGTTTTCATTTTTTTATATATTGCTTTTAATTCATTTTATGAGAACTAATAACAAATTAGTTGTGTGTTTTTCCTCAAAATGACTTTATTGCATATTTTATTGACTATATAATTTAATAGAAACCTTTTTAAGTTATTTTTTAATTTATTATAATATTAAATTAAATAAATTATTTTTCTTTATAGGAGGATGAAATAGTCATAATCAGTATTCTGAATTTTAACAATATAAATATATGGCATATATAATAAATATGTATCTGCATTGAATATTATTTTTATTTTTTGGTATTTCGATCTATTATAAGTAATATGCCAATGAAATATTTATTGGCTTAGTTCTACTAAAAACTAAATAGAATATTTTTTATAATAAAAAAAAAATTATAATAAAATTAAAATTGATAGAACTTTTAATTTTAATTTGAAATATTGAAAATCATTTGTATAATAGTCTGTCTGTAAAATTTAGATTTTTTTGTGAATTTTTGAAGTAAAAAATTCAAATTAAAAAAATTTTAAATTAAATTTTCTTTATTTTTTATCTTTTAAAAAACCATACTTTTTATTTTTTAAATATTTATTTTTTTTATATTTAATCTCTTTATTACAGATTTATTGATAATTCTTTTGAATTCTTTTTTATTCAAATAAAAATTCTTTTTCTAAATAAATTAAATTAAATGTAAAATTAGAAAAATAATAATTATTATAATAAATATTATAATAATATTTATTATGGTTTATAAAATACATGTAATAGTTTAAGTAAATAAAATTATTAACCATCTCCGAAATAAGATTTAAAATAATTGAAATAAAAATATTATTAAAAAAAAAATAATTTTATTATTATATTACATTTAAGTGTAATTGAAGAATAGAAAAATTAAAAACCAAAATCAAATTGGTAATTGACAATAGTATATTATTTGAAGTAATTTTTTTCGGTAATCAATAAATAATGAATTGGTTTGGCTGGTAGGTTAAAAATATTTGTCCTATTATAAAATAAATTGAATTAATTTAATTTGAGAAAACTAAAATATAAATTATATCCATATAGTTAATTACCCTTTATTATTAATAACTTCATTTAATTTCTAAAGTAAGTATTTAATTATATTTATTGCTATTTGTTGAGTATTTTTAGTTATTTATAAATTAAAATAAAATATAAATTAATTAGTTCATTTTTTATTTTTTAAAAATTAATTTTATGTTTTTTTCTTTTTCTTATTTTATTTAATTTTTTATTGATTAATTTATATTTTAAGAAATCTTTAATACATACTATAATTTTATCATAATTTACTATTAATTAATTTTTTGTTTTTTTATATTTGATTTTTTATATTTATAAAATTTAACGCATAAAATAGTCTAAAAATAAAAGAAGAAAAAAATAACTTTCAAAGTAAATAAATGTCAAAAAATTAAATTCATATATCAAGAATTAATAGTAATCTAATATTACATGTATGTTAGTTGAAAGAGAAGATAGTTAAAATTAAAAAATGATTTAAAATATTATTCGATACAAACTAAAGTTAATAAAAATAGAAAAAATACAATTATCTAAAAATAATTATTTAATTATAATAAGGTATTAATTGAATATATCGAGAGTACGATAATTTGCTGGAGTATCTAAAAAACTATTGATTATTTGATTTATCAATTTTACTTTTCACTATGCTTATTTGGATTGATCATCGTCATCTTTATTGTCATCATTATCTTATGATTCTTATTATTAATATTCTTAGTTAGAGCCATCTTACATAGTAAAATGATAATTGTTATCATATTTATCAGTATTGTGATCATACTCTTTTTGAATATCTTTCATTATCTTCATAACTAAAATTATCTTCAAGATATTGTAAGATTGAGCTTGAAATAGATAGACTTTCACTTTATTGATGAAAGCCTTCTAAGTAACTTTAATCTGATTTTTCTTCTTGTTACTTATCAGTTTATTAGTTTTCAGCATTAGAATCACCTACCTTCTAATTGTTGCTATATTTTTTTTTCATTTATTTGATTAATCATTGGAATCGTTAAATTTTGGACAGTCAAACTATTTAATCCTAATAATTTATTTTTCCAAACGATGAATAGCTAAATAACGTAAATTATCTTCAACTATTAAATCTACAAAATCTTCATCTTCAATAGAAAAGCAAACTATTCTTGGCATTTTAAAGATTTTTCTTTATAATTTCTTCTTAGTTTTCTCATGTAGGCTATATATTATTTTATTGATATTTAGAAGTTAAAAATATCCATGAATAAAGAAATAAGAAATTCATACATAAATAATTCTCAAAATTAATAAAAAATGTTTGTTTTATTAAACTAAATTTTTTACTTTATTAAAATATCAAATTAGATGAGATTTCTATAATTTTATATGTGAAAAGCAAACTCTTCAGTGTCTTTATCGCTTACTTCAAAACTTATTTATTTAAATTATTTTTATTAATTAATTAAATAAATGTTTAATTTTTTTTCTTTAATCGAATAATTTGTCAGAAAACAATATATTTACCGTACTAATAGAAATAATTTGATTAGATTTTTACAAGTTTTTAGGGCTAATCCAACTTAAGGTAAGCATGCACCATTAATTTCCCAGCTTTAAAATATTATTATAACATTTTGTTAGAATATTTTTTTAAACATTAAAGGAGAAAATAAGTAAAATATAATATAATAAACAAACAATACCAGAAACCCAGAAAAAATTCTTTGAGATTATTTAAATTTGATAAATGAGCACATAAATCGTAATAACCTTTAGAGGTAGGCTTAATATAAGTTGGATTTCTATCGTGAGTATTGATTTTCAATACTTATAAATTAACAGATTTAGCTAAATTTAAGCCTAATTTAGATAAACCATCGTCTCTAAAACAATTATCACTTTTATAATTATATAAAATTTTTATTTTATTTGCAATATAAATAATGTTAAATTGAGATTAAATTATATCAAATTACCAAATTTCAAGACTCAATTCTTACAATCTTTAGCAATTTACTAAAGCAGATCCTAAATTTTATAACCCTTCATCACTGATTTCATCACAACTTTAAATTTAGTTAAATAAACATAAATAGTTAAAATATTTGTTTATATATATGTATTTATATTAATTACATAAAAGATATTGCAAGCTTTGTAATTTTTTGGCACTTTGGCAAAGCAGTAGCTATTCTTGATAATCCTTCATCCCTTAGAGTACTCCCGCTAATTTAATTCATAAATAAATAATTCAAATTAATAGTTTAGTAAATCATAACTTACAATCCAAAAAGATTTAATATTTGAAGATTCTTACAACCTTTTATAATAGAAGCAATAAATAATACTCCATTTTCTTCAATTTTTTAAAGTCTTTTGTAATAAAATCATTAAACATTTTACTTAGTTAAACTAGTATTTAAAATATTAAATAATTTACGTAAAGTCCATTTACAAAAGAGATATTTGTTTGCATTTCGTTATACTGGCTCCTAATATAGATAATTGCTTTCGGCTTACATAAATTTATCCATACTCATGACTATAAAAATGTATAATTAGATAAATAAATTCAAAATTTTATACCTAAAATCAAGAATTAAATATTTGAGATTGGAACAATTTTCAATTTGAGAAGCTATCATTGGAAATTTATCTTAAGTAGTTTATCTTTTTTGATAAAAAAAAATTATAAATTCAATCTTTAAAAGAAGTAAGAATTAAATAATTATTAGTCAATTTTAATTTTAAATTTCTAATTTTAAATAGTTAGAAATAAAAAATCATTAAAAATTTTGTTTAATTTGCTTAAATGCCAACAATAGAAATGAAATAATAATCTTCATTATGTTAATTGAATAAATTTTTTTAACTAAATTAAATAATTATCTTTTCATAGAAAATATTAAAAGATAACTAAAGTTTTCTTACTGAAAATCAAGGTTAAGATACTTTATTTATTCTAGGGATAAATTTGGTTCCATAAGCTTTTTTTTAAATAAAATAGAATTAATATAAATGAATTAATGAAGTAATATATAAACTTTTGTTAGTCCATAAATTTCATTTTCCTATAAGACCGAAGATTTCTCACTAGTATTCATTTTTTTATATATTGCTTTTAATTCATTTTATGAGAACTAATAACAAATTAGTTTTGTGTTTTTCCTCAAAATGACTTTATTGCATATTTTATTGACTATATACTTTAATAGCAACCTTTTTAAGTTATTTTTTAATTTTTTTTAATATTAAATTAAATAAAAAATTTTTCTTTATAGGAGGATGAAATAGTCATAATCACTAAGAGAATTTACAATCAGGGTTTTTTTAGATCAGTAGGCAGTAAAAACTTCTCTGTCTACTATATTTTGGCCTTCCAAGTATTTAACTCGGAGGGCTACTTTTTAAGACTTTTCAAAAAACATTATTAACAAATTTTTAATAAACATTATAAACAAAAAAGTTAAAATAAAAAGTGATACTTGATTTCTCCCTGAGGTTTTATTTAAATCATGGCATCTAATTATTCAAGATAAATAAAAAAAGGATAAAAATATGATTGATGCATAATATTTAAGATTAAAATATAACTGGCATATAAAGTTTGGCATTTATATAATTTAATAAGATGTAATATAACACTAAAAGTTTCAAATTGTTTGATCGTTTTTGGAGAAACAAGAGAGTTTGCTTAAGAGCATTTAATTCTTTATTTTTTATAAATAATTTATTTACTTACAAAAATATGAATGATATTTATAAATATAAAATCAATAATAAAATCTATTTATATTTATATTTTAGGTTTAAATTTTTTTCAAAATATTATATAATAAAATATATAATATTATTCAAACATTTTATATTTATTCATCCTTTTTTCAACAGTTGTTTATCATTAGAAATCAATATTAAAGACAACTAATCGTTTTGATTTACGACACTTGCTTATTACTTTGAATATTTATGATTCATTCATTGAGGTCTCACTTTTATAATAAATTTGTGTAAATTATTAATAAATATCAAAATAGAATAAACTTTTAAATTAAAAATTATTCTTTAAATTAATAAATAAAATAATATTAGTTGAATAAAAAAAGATAAAAAAATA